GAGGATTCAAAGGACAGAAAACTCAAACAATACCAAAGAGATCCTCTGYGCAATGTTAGGACTGTTTTTGCTTTCAGACTAAAGATGTATCGGGATTAGCCAGAGCAAGCAGCAAAGATCCTGCCCTTCCTCTGGGCCCAAATAGGGTCAGACTTTTATTYTCCCTTAGGTGAAGGAAGTGTGGTGCACATGGGCAGAGGGACAGGCACAGAACCTGTGTGTCAGGGAGTCAGCGTCCACTGTTCTCAGGGAACCTCGTGGTTCATAATGGCTGCTGGGCTGCAGACACCCAGATTCCATGTGGAGAGAATGCTCGGCTCTCCAGGGAAGTCCTGGAAGTCACACACGGAGAGGAGAAGCTGTCCCGAGGGCTGGGGTGTGGTCTTTCTATAGCTGAGCGACTGGGATGTGTCACTGAGTGAGAAAGAAGATAAGCCACAGCGCGTCTGTGCCCTGCTGGGGACCCCTGTGGCAAGAGGTGGCGGCACTTGAGGGAGAGCTGAGGGGCTGGCGCTGCAGCCCCAGGGGCAGGGACGGCCAGGAGGTCAGAATGCCAGGGCAGGGGGGCGCATGACGGCTCCTGCCAGAGTGCACATGTGACCGGGGCCAGCCGATCGATGCCTGGCCCCGGGATTTTGTCCCTCATTCTGCAGCGAGTGGCAGGTGCCAGCCTGCTGGTCACAGACTGGAAGGGCTGGCATGGCAGCCGCCGCAGCCATGTCCTCGGCCCTGAGGAGCGTTGGGAGGAAATGTGGCCAGGCAGAGCCAGGCGCGGGGAGGGGACACGGGAGAGGGAGGAGATCCTCGTGGAGTCTTGCCCGAAGCCAGTCTCTCTCCTGGGCTCCTGGGAACCTTGTCCACCCTTCGGGGGTTTTGTTGGGTGTGGGGACTGAACCCAGGGCTTCACCACCGAGCCACACCCCAGCCCTTTTTATATTTGTTTACAGACAGGGTCTCGCTGAGTTGCTCAGGGCCTCACTAAGCTGCTGAGGCTGGTCTTGAACTGGARATCCTGCTGCGTGGCAGCTGGCTGGCCCCCACAGTGCACCTGCCTCCTCCTCTTCCCAGTGCAGCCACCCACCTGCCTGCAGGTTTTCCTGGCACTTCTCAGACACACTGCTGCCCCCAGGGTGTYCAGTGTGGGCCTCGCTGCAGACTCCGGGGCCCCTCCGGGCTGAGTGGGCCCTGGCCACCCAGGGGCAGCATCCAGTGGAGAGGCAGGCTGGCTTCTGGACGTCAGGGGTGCATGCGTGGGTGCAGGTGGTGGGGATCTGCAGGGACGCACAGGGATGTGGACTGGCTGCTTCCGTCCTAGACGTAGGTCACCCACCCTGAGCCATGGCCCACGGACCCTRGGCTCCCGGGCTGTGCCCACACTGCACACACTCTGCCGTGGGTCCTCCCTATTACTCAGCCTCCTGAGGGTGTCCCTGGCTGCGGTGCCCTGCCACTGTGTCCATGCTGCCCAACAGCAGGTCCCCCTCCCTCATGGCTCCAGGATGGACCCCTGCTCTGGCCCAGGTGGAGCCTCTCTCTGGGAGGCCAGAGCTGGGCTGGGCTGTCCCCTGGACAAGGGCGTGTGGACCCCATGCTGGCRCCAGCGCTCAGGACGGCTGTCCCCACCACCGCTCTGCACACGTGCCTGGTCCTGCCACCAGCCTGCAGGGCTCTGAGGGCGAGTGGCTGGGGCCGGGCCCTGGTGGGAGGTCCCTCCCAGGACCCCATGTGACCTGTTCCACATTGATGTCTTGTGACCGAGCAGCATCCCTTTGTCTCAGCCTCTCTGTGATCCACAGCTTGTCTGGGTGGTGAACGGGATCCCGCTGGGGTTTCCAAGGACATCTGTGGCCCATTCCTTCCTGAAGGACACTCGGATGCATCGTGTCCCTTCTCACCAGGGACGTCCCGGGATGAGAGCATTTGCCCAGGATGTGCCATTTAATTCCGGAAAGTCCACTCTGAGATTGCAAAACGATGGGAAAGTTCATCAAGCCAAACCTCCCTCCTCTTACTTCTCTGGCCCATTTAAAAATAATATCGACTAGGACTCGCCCCGAGTCGACCGCGTCCCAGTTCTTCTCTGTTTGTTACCCGCTGAATGGTTTAAGGGAGAGAAGAGAAATGCCCCTGCTACCACCGGCATTCTGCAGATGGGGTGCTGTACAGAGAGGGAAAGTGGTCTGCTCAAGGCCAACAGCTTGGGAGTGGAGTTGCCGGGATGTGAACCAAGGCTGACTGGTCCCTGACCATGGCACCAACAAGCAAAGAAAGGACTCAGTCAGCCCCTGGGGTGGTCAGCCTGGGAAACAACTGTAGCTCAGAGAGGTCAGGTGACTTCAGCCAACACACACAGCAGGGGCCATGGAAGTCAGGATTCAAGCTTGCTTGTCTAGATGCAAAGAGGGCGCCTTGTTCTGCTGGGTGACCTCGCCGAGCTCCCTAAGGAGGACAGGTGGTTTTATTGAGTGTCTGCTTTGCCAGGTCCCATGTTATAGGTTGTGAAACAGGTCGGCAAATCCTCTGATTTCCATGGGCACAGAAATATGGTCTGTGCTCCCTCCCCTGACCCTGGGCGAGCTCTGTGTCCGGGCAGTGGAGTAGGACAGACCCAGACCCTGGCTCACAGGAGACTTTGTACCTCCTGCCGGGGACCCTGCCAGGCAGGAAAGGCCACCTAGGGGCCCTGCAGCCACCGTCCCCCATCAAATGCCAGCCCTGTCGGGGAACCAGCCTGGGCATCCACACAGGGGAGCCTTCAGGTGTCCACAGCCCCGGCCGGTGCCTGACTGGCCCATGCAAGGGGCCCCTAYGTAGAGCACCTGTTGCACATTCCTGACCTACACCATCCCAGGCAAAAAAGAATAGTTGTTTAAAATCCTACATTTTGGGACGATTTGTTACACAACAATACTAATTATACCGTCACATCTGAGAAATTTATTTCTCTCTCCTGAAACACTAACACAATGAAAATCCAATGTGTCCCCTGTACTGCCGCAGACCCACGCCCCCACCCCAAGGTCACGGGGAATACCACCCTTACCACAGGAAAGTGTTTCCCACAGTTGGAGGCTGGAAGTCCGGGTCTGGGCACCTCGGCAGAGCCAGCATCTGCTGAGGGTCTCTGTGTCGCACATGGTGGGAGGGTCCCGAAGCTCACTGGTTCTCTTCACAGGGACACCGATCCCGTTGCAGAGCCACAGACCTAGTCACCTCCTGCACCACCACCTACTGTCCTCCCATTGGCAGTGGGTTTCAACACGGGACATCCGGCCAGACCCTGGGGCCCGCCGGCACCCGACTGCCTGAGCTGGGGTCTCAGCCGGACCAGTGAATAGCCAGGCGCCTGTACTTYCCAGCAGGCAGTGCTCAGTGGTGGGCATGGCTAGGCCCTGGGGGCTCAGCAGGGAGGACAAGAAGACCCCAGACGGAATGGAGGCAGGGAGGTCTGGAAGATTCTGCAGCTGGGGCAGCTCGGCCAGGGGGTGACAGGCTTGTTCCCTGCGGGCAACTCTGCCCTCGGTGTCTCTGGTGTCCCAGGTCATCCTGGGCCAGCAAGGAGTCAGCAAGTTTTCCATCAAAAGCRTCTGTCAGGAGGTGGAGGTCGCAGAGCAGAGTAGTGGACACTTCATTGTTAACCCCCGCCCCCCACCCAAATGTCTCCCATGAAAAATCTGATCCTTTGTAACTTCCCTACCCCGTGTTGTGGGAGCCTGGAGCAATGGTGCAGTTTATTTCACCCCCTGTACACCGGGCTTACAGGCCACAGGCACTGGCAGCTGAGCAGGCAAACGCATGGGTTCAAATCCTAGAGTCTCCACTTTGGAGCTCTGTGACTTTGGGAAAGTGATTAGCATTCTCTGTGCCCAGTTTCTTTATTGGAAAAATGGGAGCTGGGCGCAGTGGCACACACTTGTAATCCCACCTACTCAGGAGGCTGCTCTGAGACCCCAGCAGGGGCCTTCTGGGCTGTTCATGGCTGCATRGCACAGGGCCAGCACAGGGCCAGCACAGGCCGCAGTGGGTACTGAGGAAGGGTGAGCTTGTTCTGGGGTCTTCATGCAACTACAGCATGGTGGAAGGCTGCCCTGTCCTGGACCTGGGCCAGCACAGCAGTTTACACATCAGGTCCACTTTTACCTGACCAAGAGGGGAGCAGGCAGGTCCTCAGCTCTTCTGGCCTCAGTTTCTTCACCTGCCCGCAAAGGACCCAGAGTTACGTGTTCCCAAGGCACCTCGGACTCTCAGTTGACCTAGGGCTACCCCTGCACAGGTGGGTGTCCTAGGAGCGAGGGTTCCACTTGTTCCCGCTCCCTTCCCAGCCGCAGGCCCTCTCTCCAGCCTGCTACTTGACCTGTGGAAGGGGACGTGTCCAGCTCACTGGACTCACMGGTGTTAGGGGAGAGAAGCTGCAGCCAGGGCCCTCCATAGTGTCCCCTCCACAACATTCCCCAGTCTCCGTTTATTCATTTGCCGCTGGAGCGCGGATTTCTACGACGTGCAGAAGGTGGGCATGAACTCAGCGCCGGTGCGTTCCGGACTTGTGCGCAGAGCTCACGCCCCTGCGGATTTCCTTTGCGACAGTGCTGGGAGGTCTCCTCCCTAACCCCATTCTCCACTTGAGCTGCACAGAGCTGGGATTTATTAAACTCGTAACCCCCTGGCGGAAAGTGCTTGGCACTGCGCCGGGCGCGTAGTAAGCGCTCAATGAAAACGACTTTTATGGTCCCGGTGCGGAAACTGCGCGCGTTCTCCTCTTTCGCCGGCTCTGCAAGCTGGCTGCCGGCCCGCGCCCACCCGGGGCCCCGGCCGCCTTCCGCCCGCGGAGCCCGCTGGGCGGGGAAGGGGGAAGGAGGGGGGGGCGGGGGGCGGGGCCGGACTGAGCAGCCCAATCGGCGTCGCCAGTCACGGGGGGGCGTGGCCTCTGGGCTCGCAGACAGCCTTCAAAAGGCGGCGCGCTGGCAGCAGCACCCGCTCGCCTCTCGGCCAGTGCGGAGTTTCCGACCCGCTGCCGCCCCTCTGAGCTCTCTGCGCCCGCGCTGCCCTCTGGACACAAGAGACGAGGTGCTGATTGGAGGCCTGCGGAGGTAAGTGTCACTTAGATCGTCTCCTTTTGCAAGCTGCGGTCTGCTCTCCCTGATGTCGGGGCAGCTCTGTCTGCATCTCAGAGCCTTGTTTTGAGGCATGCCCTTTTACAGACGAAGGAACAGGGCCGACGACTAAGCCACTTCCCCGGGCTCACAGCTAGGAAGCCGAGGGGCCAGGACTCGGTCTGTCTGGTCTCAGATCCTTGCTCCCGGGAGGCTGGATGCTCTTCTGCCTTCCTGGTGCAGTTCGCTACCATTTGTAGCCTCTGGTGTTCGGGATGGGCGTCATTGACGTGGATGTGGCAAGCATTGCAAAGTGTTCCACCCACRTGTGGGGGGTGGGTGATTGGCAGATGCCTTCTACCTGACAGTTTTTAGGGCCACACCTCTTATGGTCTCATTTGCAGCAAACCTGCAAAGTGGCCTTCTTCCCATATTTCAGATGAAGACACTGAAGGTCAGAGAGGTGAAGTGAGTTGTCCAGGCAGAGCCAGAGCTGGAACCCAGCACTCTGCTCCACAGCTTCGGGTGGGTGTGTCCAGGTGTGAGGCAATTTCAGGGAACACATTTCTGGACCTCTAGCTGGAGTAGGCATCTGCGTAACTCCTTGCGTGGGGAGAATTGGTCAGGTGGCTCTAGGGTCCTGGGAGTCGGCTGCCACACAGGGAGAGCCAGGACCAGCCCCTTGTGTGGTACAGACCCAGAGCCTTCCTTGCCAAGGGCTGGCTGCAGAAGGAGCTCGGAAGGGCTTAGCCAGGTGTACTCACTGCAGTCCAGCTTGAACTGGGYATCTTTCAACCAAAAGCTGAGCTGCTGGTCTGACTGAGAAAGCCTGAGGGGCAGTGGGCATGTCCAGCCCGCTYAGCACCTGGAGTGGACTGGGAATTTCCACTCTGAGACTTTGGCCTCCTTGCTCTGGTGGGATGGGGTGGGCCTGTCTTTTCCGTCTAGGATCTGGAGTGTGACCATCCTACAGAGCAAGACCAGGGATGTGCCCCCTGCCCAGATCACCTGAGAGGGATGTCCCAGGGGTCTTTATGTTGTGTGAACYGGTTCTGCTTCTGCCTGGCCTAGCTGTTTGCACTTGGGGAAGGGGCAGGAGGTGTGGGCTGTGTTGCTGAGGAGCCGGGCAAGGCCCATCCACACACTCTGCCCACATGAGCAACCCTGCTCACACACCTGGGCAGGGGCTCCTTGGTCCCCACCTCCCAACTGAGGAATCAAAGGGTCAGCAAAGTGAAGTGTTTGCCCAGGAGGCCCAGCTGGGTGTGATGGATCTGGCTTGAGACCCTGCACACTTGACCTGGGTTCTACCTCTCCTTTCCTTTGTGAGTCTAGGGATGGAACCAGGGCCTGGCACATGCCAGGCAAGTGCTCTGCCGCTGAGCTGCCCCCCAGTCCTGGGTCCTGCCTCTTTAAGCACTTCTCTGTCTCACTGCCAACTCCGCCTCTGAGCCTGACCTTCACACAGGTGTTTTGTCTGAAAGGGGCGCCAGGTAAAGAGCTGGATGGGGTGCCCAGGGAGGAGACAGGAAGGGGAGACTCTGATTTTCAGAATCCCCTCGGGGGTAAGAGTAGGGGTYGTGACAGCCACGTTTATAATCAGTGCTGGCAGCTGGCACTGTCCTGGCTCTTACGTGGACCAGACGGCCAGGTTTCCAGGAATGATCTCGCCGACTGCCCTGTGAGGGGGAAGCGCACTGAGGCTCGGGATGAATCKGGCCGGCCCTGCCGGCTGGGCCCTGCCCAGGTGCTGGAGGAAGGGGCCACTTGGCTGCCGTAGCAGAGCCTGCCAGGAGACCAGGCTTCCGGTGCCAGATGGGTCCTCTGCCTTGCCGGGGCTCTGGGTCCCTGGCCCGGGTTTGGGCGGGGCAGGAAGGGCTCTGCTGACGCGGGGCTTGGGCTCAGCTCTGCCAGCAGCCACTGGTTCCGCCCGCTGAGAGCCCTGCCCGGGACCTGGACCAATACTGTCTCCCAGAGTCCTGCCACGGGGCTGGAGAGGAGAGTGGACACCCCAGCCAGGTCTGGAGCTGGGGAAGAAGAGCTTAAGGCCCCGGAGAGCCCCTGCACGTGATCACCCCTTGCCATCCCCGAGGGGAGATCTGGCCCGGTGTGGGTTGCACCTGGAACGTTTTAGAGGTGGGACCCCCAGTGCCGACCTCCTTGGCCTGAGGGGGCTGGAGCGTCCCTCTTCTCTGTCACCAGCGTAATCTGCTGTGTGGGGAGGTGCCGCCGTGTCTGCTGCTCCCAGCTCAGGAGGCTTTTTTTTTGCAAACTCACTGGTTTTTGATCAGTCGCAGATGTGCAGACCCAGCATCAGTCAGGGGCTGAGGGCTGGTCAAGAAGGGAACATACAAGGCAGGCATGACTTTATGTCACTCCACTCAACTCAGGAGAGGCTCAGACTTCCACGGGCTGCAGACCCGGAACACCTTCCAAGTCCCAGGGGAGCATGCTCCCCTCCAGAGCAGGCAGGGTCAGGCACACCGGGGGGCTTTGGCAGTACCAGCCGTATATTTTTCTTTTTTCTTGAAAAATATTTTATTACGGTGAAATACACAAAAGCAGACAGGCATGGTGCTTCACATCTGTAGTCCCAGCTACTCTGGAGGCTGAGGCACGAGGATCCCAAGTTCGAGGTTAGCTCAGCAACTTAGTGAGATCCTGTCTCAAAATAAAATTTTAAAAAAGAGCCGGGGGGGACTGGGGCTGTGGCTCAGTGGTCGAGCACTCACCTAGCGTGCATGAGGCATTGGGTTTGATCCTCAGCAGCACAAAAAGAAATAAATAAACAAAGATATAAAGTAAATTTTAAAAAAGAGCTGGGGATGTGGCTCAGAGGTAGAGCACCCCTGGGTTCAACCCCCAGCAGCACCACCAACAAATCCACATGAGCACKCAACTTCCCCTTTTAACCCCTTGAGCTGTGCCATCGGGTGGCTTTCACAGATGGGCAGTGCTGTGTGACCCTACTGCTGTCTGATTCCAGGGCATTTTCGTCATCCCATCAGGGACCCTGTGCTGTGAGCRGCCCTCCCCAGCCCAGGCAGCCCCTGCCTGCCTCTGTCTCGGTGGCTCGTTCTGGACACTTCCCATASGTGGGACCACGTGCCAGGGTGTGGCTGGCTGCGTGTGGACGTGGCACAGTGTTGTCCAGGTCCATCCCCCTTACAGTTCACACATCTCGACATCATTCCTTTTTTGTGGCTGGAAGTGTTCCTCCGTACGGCTGGTGCCCATCTGTGTGTCCCCACCTCCACGGAGGGCAACCCAGGCTTTCCCCAGCTGGATGACACGGGCAGTTCCACCGTGGGCACGTGTCTTCACCGCTCCTGCGTGTAGACCTCGCAGTGGACTTGCTGGGCCACACGGGACTTGCTGACCTCATGGAGGAACCCSGGGCCTTTTCTGACTTCCTCCTGGAGGAAGCCCCCACCTGCTGATCCCGTTCTGGTCCCTGGCCACCGGTGTGGGGACAGCCCGGGGCTGGTGCGTGGGCAGGGCGGCTGTCCCACCTGGGTCCCGGCAGCCCCTGGCAGGGTCCTATCTGWGGTGTGGCTGGGGAGCGCAGCCTCGGTGCCAGGCTGGCAACTGCCAGCACTCCTCGGCAGACCCCCCCCTTCAAGGCTGTGGGGACATTGTGGTCCAGCCAGAGGGAGATTTATCTTTGATTATCTCAAGTGCAGCATCAGCTTAGCCCAAAACCACAGGATCAGGAGAAGAGAGCCTGATGAAGGATCTTGCAACTTCTGGGCCCTTGTTTTTAAAGTACGGTAGATTATGAAACCCCACGTCTCCAGCCCGGGTCTCTGGCCTGTCTCCCATCTTGCGTGCAGAGTGGCCGGGCTCCAGAAGGAAACAGAATCACGCCCCCATTTTGCACACAGTCGAGGGGCCTGGAGCTGACCCTCCCCCAGTCCTTTCAGACAGGAAGGAGCCCGCGGGTTCTCTAGATGGGGAGCTGGTGGCCAGCTGACCTTGTGACTGACCTCTAAGAGCTCAGGGGCTCCTAGAAGGAAGAGGTGGTGTTCTGCAGGCAGCGAGAGGCCAGCAGAGGAGGGGAGCTGGCAGGGTGCACCAGGTGGGGCCTCGTGGCCAAGGCCTGAGGTGTCAGGGCACCACCCAGGGGGGCAGCTCACACAGGAGAGTGACATGAGGACAGTTTGCTCTGGAATGAGCTAGTTCCACCAAGTCTGTGGGGGGGSTCCATCCCCAGGCCCACAAGGTGACTGAGCTTGTGCAGACCCGCAGCAAACCCCCTCACCCAGGGGCTGTTCCCTCTGCTCCGTGGACCCCTCCTGCTCCCCGGGAGGCTTGCCTGGGGTGGGGCCCTCTGTGCCTATGCCCTCCCAACCCTGACCGTCACAACCCAGAGCCTGGGCCCTCCTGGCGCCCAGCAGGGAGCAGGGCCTTGTCCTGGTTTTCTTGGGTTTGGCCACTCCTTGCTCCCCTCCAGGCCACAGGACGAGGTTCTCCACGAGTGGCGGGGGAGAAACTGACCTTTTTGAAGCAAATATTTTGGAACCTCAAAAGCAAACTGACTTAAATAAAAATGCAAAACATTTGCTGGTACAGGTAGATGTTTGCTGGTACAGGTAGATGTTTGCTGGTACAGGTAGATGTTTGCTGGTACAGGTAGATGTTTGGGAGGGGGCCCTGCAGGGTTGGGATCCGGGAACCCAGGATCCAGGTGGAGGAGCTCAGGGAGGAGACGGGCTGTGGCGGTCTGAGCAGTGCTCCTCCAAGCGGGGCCACCCAGGCCCTCCGAGCCAGAACCTGGGGGCGGCGGGTGCTTCACGTGGCCCCCAGCACTGGGACAGGCTCAGGTGTGGGGCCCACGGTCCTGGAAAGCTGGCAAAGGAGAACCCTGGGCCCTGGCACAGAGGAGGGGTGTGGAGGGACTGGCTGGTCAGGGCAGGGGGGAAGCTGAGGGAAGGTTCTGGTGACAGGGTCTGATGTGACCCAAAAGAAATTGCCTCGCAGCAGTGGGGCGGGTGGCT